CAACGTAGATATGTATAAAGTATATTACAATTATATCAAATATGAATTACAATGACTGCTTTACAATACAACAATAAGATCTTCATTGAACGTCTCTTAGTACTCTCAAGGATATTGTAATTTGTTTATATCTTTTATTTCCGGACTATACTGGAAAATTACTAATAAAAAAAGAATTTTACCATCTACGTCTTAGAATTTTTTGAACTAAAGTTAAGTAGAAGGGTTAAAATAAAAATGATAAAAATTGTGATAATTGAAGGTATCTCGAAAGTATACAATTTTTTTTTACTTTCTGTCAGGATAATTTTATTAGAAACAGTGCATAAAAGCTAGTAAAAGGCCACGAAAGAAGGTTCAGTGGTTTTGCATGACAAAGCGTGCGTCCTTGTTCATTAAATCAAAGTAATTTTTAACGGTTTCTTTCTGTATTGTTTGTTGAAATGCATGGGCGCCGGCAGGGGGGCAAAGGGGACAGTTGCCCCCCTAGAAATTTTTAAGTTCCCAAAAAAAATTATATAATAACAAACAATTATTGGGGCATAAGCTTAATTAATAAGAATCGATTGTATCGAGTGTTCACAGCCAATAGTATATCAGTCGGTAAAAATAGAAAAATGACTTTTAGATAGTTATCATCGTCATATATTAGTGCTCTTTCTGTTAATATACTCCGTTTTGTGAAATTTCGTATCTAAGTATTGTTAACTGGTATTCCGAAAAATCGATATATGAGTAAAGATCATTTTTTTTTTCGAAACTCTTTATTAATTAATAAAGCGAAAATTTGATAATTTGATATCATATTGTCTTTATTTCAGTACATCTATAGCAAACGTCAATGTAGAAAAAAAAATCGTTATAAGTAATATGCACCATAAACTGACGCTGGCAAACCATCAAAAGCATTTATTTGTAATTAAAAGAACAAAAATATTTAAACGGCAATATCTTCATAACTAAATTTTATTACTTATCGGGTTTTCGCTCTGGATCTTCGGTATATTTTTTAGATTATCTAATTTCTTGAAACGGTAAATTCGGCAGCATTTGAGAATCATGCCTAAGCCCGTATCGTATTACACGATAGTGGATAGCGGATAGCGTTCATAAATCCCTACATTTCTGTAATTTGTTTCAAAGAATTCACAATTTTGCATCCTTGACCCCTCCCCCCCTGGAAAAAGTTATGACGGAGCCCATGTTAAAATGTATAATGGTTTAAATAACAATTAAAATAAATACTTATTTTTCCCGTAAATTGTTAAAATTTGACAAAATTGAACATTTATTAAAAAAATGTACAAAAGTATGGCATTATTTAAGACACTTAATAAAAAAAAATATTCGGACAGTGCAAAACCCCCTTTTCCCATTACTGTCATTTTCGGTAATTTTTTTGTTAGAGCAAACCTTGCAAATTTAGAATTCTTTTTGAGCCTATATTTTTAGTCCGATTTTTGTGAAATTTTCAGGAAATGCCAATAATGTCAAAACTTGGAAAAAACCTTGAATTTTTTATAAACCTTCGAAAAGTATTTATTTTGAAAAATTTTAAAAGGAAAAATATGTACGCGCCATTCTATATTAAATCTATGAAAATTATGTTTTAATAAATATCTAGTAGTTTTTAAATGGGAGGATTTCCCACCTTTTTTTTCTTAAACGTCTCTGCAAAGTGCTGCCTTATCGTTGCCCAAATTTAAAGCTCTCATTATTCTCGAGACACATAATATCGCGAAGTATTCCCAGTGGCAATCATATAAATACAATTTTATATTAGAAAATCCTTAAAACATTTTTAAGTCCGGTTTGCTCTTAAGATGCGAGATAATAAATAAAAAGTGCTTTTTTTAATTTTGACATATAATATAATTTACGCAACCAGTTATATAATGTTAATATTATGAAACTGATTAAAAAAATTCATTATGTCACCAATTGCTGAAAAAAAAAACAAATAAAATAAACTTTTTTGTTTCTTAAATCAATATATAGTTTATTATTGAAAGTTTATATCACAAAAGAGCATGTTGACTTATAAAAGTAGAATTTGATTAAACTTACAACCCAGTAATAATGTTGTTTTGGTTCTTATTTTCCATTCTAAATCAGCACAATATAATTACAATACACGAGAAAATAACCCACTTATTTGAAAACTAAATAACTTTAATAAAAAATAGAAACATACCACAAGTCGCTGAGAATAAATAATTAATATCTATTTATCAATAAAATGATGCATATGCAACTAACAATACAAGAAAGTAATATTGGTTGCCTAGATGTCAATAATGTTTTACCAAAACACAATTTTATAAATAATCTAGTCAAAATTAGAAAAAATATTGTATGTAACACGTTACGAAATGTCGTTTTATATAAATCATTCATGTTGCGGGACCTCGCTCTGCTCGTCCCGCAAATATTCACTCGTTACATAAAATAAGACATTTCGTAACTGATTGCATAAATAGCTATTATTGACGAACTTGATTTTTATTTGACAGTATTTATCCAGAATTAATTCAAATTAATTAGACAAACGAAAATCAAGTAATACAGAACTAGGAATTGTTTGCATTTATGACGTCCCATAGTTGTTTCTCAATATAAGCAACTTTTAAATACTGCAAATATCCCAAGCAATGAAGTGCTTAGGACAGGAGAAGAAAAATTAGAATAAAGGTACAAACTGGCATTTTGGTCCTATTCGATGTCCTGATGATTGCTTTCATTTTTCCCGGACTATATGGCTTGCATTTTTTAGTTTTTTTTTTTTAAATGGAAATTAAAACTAATTTCGGAACTGCTGTTTTAATTTAATAGTTTCTAGACGTAAAATTGCAAAATATGTGAGGAGGGGGCGTCAAAAAATCATGAAATTCGGGTGATGTAATTTATGGATGGTCCCTAATTGTCAAGATATCTACTATAACAAAAAACTAATGTAAAGTATATTTATTCGGGTATAATGTGATTCTTGAAAAAATTCAATACAATCATCCGTTCAGCCCATAGCGCTCGCGAAATGAAAACAGTGCAAAACATGAGAGCGTAGCCTTCAGAACGCTCTATAAATGCTAGGGTAGTACTATCACGGGTTTTTTGTGAGAAATATTCTCTAGGATTTTTCATTTCAGACTAGCGTTCTCAAAAAATTGAATTTAAAAAAAAAACACTTTAAAACAAATAAAAGGACATCGAATTTGATCAACATACCATTTTGTCTAATTTTTCACAGGTAAATCTATTCTATTTCCTGGCCTAAAACGTATTTAAATTTATGTGGTTGTGGCGAGAACAAAATTCGGCGTGTTTTTTTTTAGGAGTTTGTTCTTTTTTTTTAACACATTATAATAGCAAGAGACCTTAAATTATTCAGTCAGTATTGGACTAAGTACAGACTAAATTTAAAAAGGGAATACGTTGTTGGTATTCATTATCTTTTTTATTTGGTTTCTTTTACGTCTAAAACAATCATGCAGGAGACTGCAAATAATTCCTCGTGATAGTGTCAATCTATATGGATGTGGTTTTGTGAATTTTTCAATTAATTCACAGTAGTAAATAGGGATATTTTTTTATGAAAATATTGTCCACATACAATCTTAAATTAAAACAAAAAACGCAGTATTAAAACTGATTTCACGAATTTAAATGAACAATTAATATTATATTTACGGGTTTATTTATTGAAAAACGCCTACTATCAGATTTCTAATATTGTACACAACTTTCAACAAGCTTTTCCAAGAAGGCAGATTATGAATGTAAATCAGGACCAACCTAACCACAGGGCTAAATAGGCTATAGACCCGGGGTGCAAGCCTTTTGGGGGCGGCAATTTTTATTGGTGTTATATTTTTTTGTTACTATTATAATTAATTTGAATCAAAATCTTTTTATAACAAATAAACCTAATAATCTATCCTAAATGAAATAAAATTATATTTACATGCATATCTTTGTTTTGGAATTTGGGAATAAATATGTGTTCTTAGAATTTCACCTGCTAGAAAAATACATACATATTTCTACTTTTGTTCTTTTCTAATAAAAAGGGGAGCATTATTTTTGTAGTGGTCCACGGGCGTCGAATATCTTAGAACGGTCCTGCCGTTACAGTTAATGAGGAACAGAGGAACGTGATATTATCAAAACTCTGGGCAAATTAAATGCCTGTCAAACATATCACATACCTACCCTTATCCTGACCAACTACAAAGACAGGATCTGCTATTTTCATAAATTTACATCACACGTATTCATTAATCCACTTATAAAAATTTGTTGGGTTTGATATACTAATCGAATTTTGAATTTTTACCACCTACACAACATTGTTTGGAACATCGCTGACATCCCCAATCATGAAAAACACTATTTAAATTATATATTTCCGGTGGTGACTCCGGAAGTTTAAAATATTCTGTGTAGGTATTAAAAAGTATATACGTATTTGTTTAAAAAAGAAGTTAACATTAAATTCCAATATTTGCATTGATACTATTAATTAACATCTAGAGCTAATTATTGAACTTCCTGTTCAGAAAGAAGTAAAAATTGTGTACCTATTGGAAATTAATAAATTATAATTAAAAAAACAAACGAAATAACTTTGATTTCAGATTAATTACAAGATGTGTATTATAAATTACTTACAATAATAAATATCAGTTTCTTAGAAAAACACATGTTTAACTACATTATTAACAAATATTCATATATAACAGATCACCAAAAAGGTTTAAAATAAGATTTTTTTACAGAAATAATGCTGCAAGAATTTTACGTCATGATTTCTCCAAAAACATGTAAAACGTTGTAAATTATCATCATTAACCATACTTCGAAATTCGAAATTTTTAAACACTCCTTTCTATTTGTATTTAACTCAATTAATTAAGTTGAAAACCCCGCCAAGGAAATCTGTCACTTAAGAACGAATTGCTTTGTCTGATAAGATAAGGAATAATGTAATTTTATTCACTCACCAGGTGTAATCGGTTAAACATATTACGTACACATAGGTTATAGCAAAATATACATGATCCATGCCATCACTAACTTTTGATGACACACGTCACACGACCACAATCAAGTAAATATGATGGTTTTACCATTAGATAAAAACTGGCGAATGCCCATGATTCACATTTCACTCACACCAGTTCCCGTCAGATCAAAAATTCCTTAGATAAATATATTTGTTTCAGTAGAAATGACTAGTATAATCTTTATTTATCAAGAAAATTAGTATTATTTCAGAAAATATCCTTTTTCTACTAAAAAATTTATTTTATTATTGAAAAACAAGAATTGTTTTTATCTGATGGCCATTTGATGTTACGATAATTTTAGTTGTGCCTCTTCTATTGCTCACGTGAGAGGTTTTTAATTTAATTTTCCAAATTTAAATATAGAGACGCAATAAGGATTAAGGATAGAATGTTAAAATAATTGTTCACTTCACATAACTCAAAATTACAACCTTTGTCTCTAAGACACTGGTATTTTTTAGGATATCACCCTTTCGATATATGCATGGTGATTAAAAATTATAAAATGTCAACGTGTTTACTTCTCTATCTTAATAAAAAAAATAGTGTTCTTAATGATGCTTGATTGATCAAACTATGTTTTGCTATACAATATTATAAAAATGGTATAAATAATAAGCAGAACAATAAGATTTCTGGTTCTTTATTTTTTAAAGTTTAAAAGTTCCCACTACAATTTCTTAAGTTACCGGAGCTGGCATTATAGCTACAATTCATTTTCATTTCGAATAAAAACACAAGATGGGGCGACTCGATTTGAAAAGTTTATCTATTTAAAATTAGAAAAATTATGATTTTTCGTTTTAATCATCAAAAAGGACAAAGTTATATTACTTGTAGGGTAGTATGTATGTATAAAGACATCGATTTTAGTTTTATACATCGTATTTTTACATTTTGTACCTCAGTTCCAGGGTGAACGACAATTAATGCCATTCATCGTGCTCAGCTCTCTCTAGGTTCAGCCTATAGAACTAGGTCTGAGTGAAATTTTAATTAGAGGACCAGTGGCGGATCTAGTATTTTTCTTCGAGGGAGAACGCTAATTTTGTATTATACACAGAAGTTGTTAGGAATAAGACCGGTATAATTTTAAGAGATGATTAAGGAGACAAGATGGAACAAAAAAGCGTATACACAGTTGTGTCCGAAATTCAATAGTTTTTTCTTAATATCGTGTGATATGTTACAGGTGATGGTTTATGTACATTTAACAATTCAATTTATTCTTCTCTCTCTATCTGTAACGTGTGGAGGATAGGTTGCCCCCACGGCACTTGGGCCTCACCAGGCCCACTGTGCATCCTCCTAAATTGATAGGCCTCTCTTAGCTCGTCAGCCAGCCTACAGTTTAATCTAGTTGACAACGTGGCCGAACAACGTCGTCGAACACAAAACTTCTAATAAATAAGAGCTCCGAGCAATCGTAGAGGATATGGTCTCATCTTCTTGTTCACACCCCCGTCATATTTAAGTATTTGTTTGCTGTAGTGTTGTCGGGATAATTAAAAAGCTCTCTGTCAACTCTGCAGCTTCTTGTTTCATCCCATGTTTCCTTAAATTTCACAGAGAAATGTTCTTTAATTAGGTCTGTCACTACCGATGTTGTCAGTCCAATGAAAGGGCCAGACCCAAAAGGTATTTGATTGGCTACCTCCTTGGCTTGTAGACTCGTAGACTAGGCCACGAGTCGCCACTGTCAGTAAGACGGTTACCTTTCGATGTAACTGGACCTTTGATCCATCCTAAGGTGACCATATTTTAATGGATACTTCAACCAAAGCTTCGTGACATTCTAGTACTAACCCTAGGTAAATTCGTGGTCTGTCCAGGGTGAGTAGTGGTTGTCTTCTATCTGTACAGATAAGCATGTTCCAGTAATATTGTTTCTGGTAACTTCTTTTACTGCCATGGGAATCCCCCATGAGCTCGGTTTGAACTACACTGGCACTATTACTGACAGCCCATTTTATGTTTAGGTTTAAGAATGTGTTGTATATTCCACATCCTGTGCCTTGTTCTGTTTTAGAACCGTGTTGGTGTAGATTTTAATCGTACTTGTCACTTATGGCTGTTCTATTTGTCCCATTCTTACTTTATACATGGAAGATATATCTTGGTGAGATAGAGCCCATGTTCCCTTGAAGCAGTGGACAGTGTTGCCAGATCTCCCGCTAAAGCGGCATTTCTACCGCTTTGGAGAGTCATCTACCGTTCTCCACTTTAGGTCCCTAAAATACCGCTTTCTCGCTAGCGCCCCAAAATACTGTCGCCAGTGCCGCTCAAATTTTACAGCGATTTCCTTTAAAGGATAATCGTTTGCAGGATTTATAATTTTTAAATCCACAACCTGTGTGACAGAAAACAAAAATGAGCATATTACAAATATTGCAGCAAAATGGCCCAATTTATTAGACAAAACTGATTTGCAGCAATTGGATAATGAGCGGCGTCTTTTAAAAAATCATGATTTATATCCTGCAATTCAGGACATTTTTGAATTTTGGGCCATAATCTCAGATCTTAAATATGCAGATAAAATAGACCCATGTTTTATATTTCAACTAAATTTATTTTTAATATATTAGTCTAACCACATTCAAGTGCTAATGTTGAGAGGGTTTTTTCAACTAAAAATTTGTTAAAAACTAAATAAAGAAACCGTTTGAGTACTAAAACTATAGTAGGATTACTGCACAACATGCAACTTATTACCAGTACTTGTTTTAATAAAAATAATTAATAAAAATGTATTATAATGCTTAATTAAACACTCCACTATACAGAAAAGTCGATGCGATTATATGTGGTTTAGATACCAATAAAAGTCAAAGTCATTTTTCGAGTACTTTAGAACAACTACGTTTCTTAAGACGTATTTACAACCCCTAAAGGCACACTGCACACTTCATGAACGGTTTTCAATATTGAAATTAATGTCAGGAACTCCAGGAAGTATGTTTTTTCCGAAAGTTTAAAGTCAACCGTGCATATACGGCAAATTTCTATGGGCGAACGCCAACCATAAACATCCACAATTAAGGACAGGCACAATCTTTAATAAAGTCAGCATACTCAGATGTCAAAATAAGAGCGGAGCTAATAGTGACTGACCTTAAGTGAACTTGCAATGGGTCCTATGATTGAACGTTTATGTTATCCATAACGTACATGTTAGGTCGAATTTTAACAGTAACGAAGCAAATTTGTATGATGGAAACCTGTTAAATTAGAACATAACAGGCGGAAAATAACAGTAATGTGTTATGAAAGGCTTTACACCATACGAATTTGTCTCTTTGCTGTTAAAACTCGGCCTAACATATACCTACGTTACGGATAACGTAAACGTTCAATCATAGCACCCAATGGGTCCTATGATTGAACGTTTACGTTATCCGTAACGTACATGTTAGGCTCAGTTTTAACAGTAATTAGGCAATTTCGTTTGATGAAAAACGGTTTCCAACACATTACTGTTATTTTCCGCCTGTTATCTTCTAATTTAACAGTGTTCCATCATCCGAACTTGCCTCGTTACTTTTAAAATTCGGCATAACATGTACGTTATGGATAACATAAACGTTCAATCATAGGACCCATTATCTCTATAATAACGAAACTTTCCTAAATTTAAAACTTTTCTTTGCAAACAAAACTACGTAATCGGTGTCAGTTGGGTGGAAACTACTTTAATGATGAATTATGCTATCATCCATCGCCCACCGCCCACCCATAGTAAAACGCCTCTACGACTCTGTTTTAGCAAGTCACTTTTAACGGCCTCTTACCACAACATCCACTGGTGATGTAAAATATCGATTTGTTGTTTGTCAGCTGTCTACTGTGTTTTTCTGTCATTGTCATTGTGAAATTTTTGTTGTACCTGCAATGCTTGTTTTGTGAGATTGTGAATTAATTGTGAATTGTGAGTGCTGATAAGATTATAGAGAGAACAGGTATGTTTATAATCAGAAAATTTGTCGTCGATGAACAAATGCACCCTCAAAATCTAAGTGGATCGTAGATTTGAAGAAAGACACTCCAGTTTCTGCCTTTAGTTGTCCAATTTGCAAAATAAAAAGAGAAAATTAGGTAGGTATTAGTATTGCACCAACGTTTTGTATTGTAGTCAGGTATTACAATGAAATTTACTATTAATTAGGTAATGTTGCCTTGTTTTAGTTTCTAAATGTGGTTGAATATTTCAAAGTCATGACACACTATTGGTGGATGCACTGGTTTTGGATTACATCCTCAGTATCTCGTAAGTATTTTCAAAAAAATATTTTATTTTTCTTATACGGGGTTTTTAAAAGAACAGACTACAGTGTCTCCTAAAATTATACAAGAAATGATAGGTCTTCTGTGAATATTTTTTGAAATACAGAATGTTAAAAAAAATTTCTCATACCTAAGTATTTTTAGGAAATGTACTTACTTATTCTTGAGTCCTTTTTATATTCAAAATATTCGCAAAATATTTAAATAAGTAAATATAGAAATGGCATTCTTAACAATTTTGTAAAGTTAAAATGTATTTAAGGGAAAGTGGCATTTCATTTAAAAACCTCTTTTTTATTTAATATTTTCTATTTTTGATTGTATTTTTTAGAAGCTCATGTATTTTGTATTTTAATGCATTAGCTCATAAGGCCATGAACTTAAAAAACGATTAATGAACTCCTCCCACAACATTAATAAATAATTAATAATTTGTGCTAGGTAGGTATTTAATTTTTTAACAGTTAACGCCGACTCTTTGTTTTTTCAAAAGTTCTTCTGTTGCTGAAATGTTATTTGGAAACAATTATTTCATAATCATTCAAAATATATTAAAGTAATCTTGTCAATGTTAAGAAAATAGTTTTATTCACTTCACTGTATTGTCTGAAATAATAACTTAGAGAGTGCAGATTCTCTTCTGGGGTTCTTTTACTCTCCTTCACAGTTCTTGCTTGGTTAGCTAGAGCTACTCTATAAATGTGGTCAGATTTATTTGCCTCCATTGGTTATTTAATACCACAATAGGTTATTGAATTATATCCAAAGGAAAAACAGTAGATATAGGAATTTAATTTCAACATTCTACCTTTTATTTTGCTTACTAGGGAGAACATCATTCTTGGACCTGCTTCGTCCTTATTTGAACTCATAAATAAGAAATAGACTGGTTCTGAATTTTCCAGTCTATAATGAAATTAGCAAATGGGCCTAATTCGCTAGTATACAACAATGTTGATTAAGAAGAGAAAAAGTAGTCGAGTAGTGAAAATAGTAATGCCATCTGCATCTAGTAAGGTCACTTGTAATACCTGGTTAGAAAAGTAGGTGGAAACAAAAGTCTACCTGCAATCTTTCTTTTGGGAAAAATAGTTCCTTGTATTAATTTAATATTTACATCAGTTCATGATGACTTGCCTACAAATTTCCTTCAGAATTAATAGTAGTTTATGCAACAAGAGTGGATATGGACAATCCACTCAAGTTGTACAGTATATTTTTTCTGTGGCCCACTAATGAAAATCTACAAATTTTAAAAATTATTTTATTTTATTAAGACAAAATAACTAATTTTAAAATAATTTATTACTTTTACTAATTTATAAAATAAACATGAAAAAAAAGATTTCATTTAATTAGTCTCCAGCCCAGATTTGAACCTGGGCCTCTCGCATAACCGCCAATCGCCCTGTTCTCACCTCCATGGGCACACTTTTAGTTTTAATACTCGTAATTAAATTATTTTCATATAGTTTTATTATAATTTATGATTTATTTGTAAATATTGATGAAATTAAAAAATAAAAATGCTATTATTTATTGATTCTACTAAGAATAACTCATTTTTACTTATATTTTAATCTCAATAACTAAAAAATATACTGACAATTAGTTTGACGGAGTTGTCAATTATATAAAATTTAAAAAATAGTAGCCGGTGGCCAAAATGTGATTGGCAATGTTCTTACTGGAGAATGAATATGAAATATATTCATTTAGTTGAACTTAATGGCATACTTTTTTCGTTTTGTAGTCTATGCATAGATAAGCTAATATCCATGTGGGTGTAGAAAAGCATAGTTACTGCTGTTACAACCCGTGCAAGAAAATAATGAAACACATCACACTTTAATATAATGTTTAGTTTTCCTGAAAATTCTATTTTAAATAATATAGATTTTTTTTGTGAAAAACAATTATATTTTATAAAAGGTAGATATATCGCGCGACATAGTAGCTTACAAAGTTAAAAATATTTTCTTCTGGACATTTAAAAAAATCCCGAAATTGTCAGTTAAACCAGTCCCTGAGATATGGCTGACCCTACCCCTACATAGGTACTAGGTACCACATAATTTATTGCTAAATATGGGTACTTAGTTACAGCACAGCGTATTATGGAAACTACAACTAAAACACAAAATGCAAGATTGAAGCTGTTGAGCAGTTTGAAGCTGTAAAAATAATTTTGGAAAATCGAAAATTCATAATTTTGAACATTCGAATAATATTTTTGATTTAACTGTATGGCGCCCGAAAAACCCATAATCACAAAATTATTTAGAGCTGAAACTACGCTGTTCTAATTAATTTTATTATTTTTCCAGTATTCGTAAATATTAAACTTCGAATTTTTAATATTTTTCGACCTTTATTATGATATTTTGCAATATACCAATATATGAACAAAAAATACCAATAAACCCAGTACTTTATAATTGTTTACATAATTTTACTATGCAGTCCTGATTTTTAACAGTGGCTAGTGTAAATATTTACTTTAAAAGTGCAAGGCTCTTTTATCAATAAAAATATCTTAGTTAAGTTGTAAAATACAAGTGTACATAAAAAACTGTGGTGTGTAGTGACTGAATATGAGGTGTTATCGAATATTGGTCATGTTTCTGATTAAGAATAAATATTTATTGGAATATTCAAAAGGTACTGTACAATATTAAATATTGGTGATTTGAATAGATGTTATATACCTACGTCAGCTTCACATTAGTAATTTTTAATGTATTTTTACCATTTTTTTTAATAATTAATTTTTCTTTGCAATTATACTTCGATTGGTCATATCAGAATAGGTCACCCTGTAGTCATACTTTCGATACTAATATACAAGTAAGTTTCTTCGGATATAACGTATTATTAAAAGGAAGAAAACTTAAAAAGCAAATACTGACTTTGAATGTATATTTTTCAAAAATATAAAGTCTGACTCTTGCGGCTATTTCATGTCCTATAAATAAGATAGTTTTGTGGAAAAAAAAATAGTTCATAGGAATTATTTGCAATTTTTATTAAATAAATAATTTTCGCTTGGTTACATACAACTTATTATGAGATATTTAACTGATTTAGAGTAATTTGTATTTTTAAACAGGGTTCTAAAATATCATGATATTTATATAAATATCATATCACATGATATATATCGGATATATATCCGATATATATCATTTTTAAAATTTAATTATTTAATTCAAAAACAGTATTGTTTTTTGCAAAAACTGTATTTTAAATTTTAACACAAACACATTAACAAAAACCTACATACTTAACGACAAAACCGTTTATTCTAACTCAAATTAAAAAGAAAACAAAAATAATTAAATAAACAGATTTTAACATTATTTTAACATTAATATTTTAACCCAAACACATAATTAAAAACATATATTCTAAATTCTAACCAACAAAACCTTTTATTATAACATTTCTAACTCTAATATTAAAAAAGAAAAAATTAAAAATAAAAAGATTTTAACATTGATATTAGTATATCCTCATCTGATGAATTATAAATATCAATAATGTGATTCCTATTAGTGACAATAACTTCAGAATCTTCAGATAAGGCTTCTTTTTGTCTATATTTTGATTCATACACTTAAACAGCAAAAACAAAACAAATCGTGGCAAAGCTGGGAACCCCAAAGTCGGCGCGGCGATGCTTGCGCAATAGTCGAATAAATCGCTAGTTATTATACTTTTGTACAGGGGCGTATTGAGACATTTTCGGATTTTTAGAATGTTTGGAAAATATTTTTAATTTAATAAATAAAATTATCGAATATATATCAAGGTATAAATATCATAATATATATCGTGATATATATCACTTGATATATATATCCTCCGAACCCTGTTTTTAAATTTTATTTAAATAGTGGACGACAGCTTTTGATTGAAACATTAAGTTTAAGCACTATTAGTAAAGTATTAATAAAACTTCCATCTATATTGCTTATAGTCCTTACAAACAATATACATAGATAAATTCATTGTAAATTAGGTATGTATTACTTTTCTTTGAACTTTATAGCTTGATTTAAAAAACCAGTTTTGAATGATTAATAATTTATGACTTAGTTAACTGTAGAGAAAAAAAAACCCAACAGTGCTACCTTATAACTTATAAATAATACACATTAAAAGAAAATGCGCCTGACCATGGTAAGGTCAAATTTAATAATTCTGTTTATGACTAAGACAGGTAGGTAAACGTTATAATTAAAAACACAAACTAATTCACCTGCATCCATGTTTGTATTGAAATAATAAACAAACATTCTCAGAGTCAATCAATACTTTAGAAATTCCCAAATAATTTTTTTTAAATTACCTGTACGAAATAATGGAAATTCTAAAAATACAGCTTATTTTAAACTGACTTCAAAAAATGGAGGAGGTTCTCAATTCGTCGGATTATTTTTTTATGTATGTTTAGCGATAATTCTTTACTACGTTGTCCGATTTTTTTTTCTTGGAAAGGAAATCTCAGGTGTGGTCCCATATAGACTTTGGCATGATCTTATGATGAGGTCCATGAGAAAATCATCAAACTTTATTTTTAGCGTCGGTTTTGTAAAATTACTTTTCTAACTTGATAATTTTACCAAACTATGTATTTTTAATAGTTATTGGAAACAATATAAAACATATTCATATTTAAAACCCTATATTTTTTTTACATAAAATTATCCGTATACAATTATAATTAATAGAAATAATCTGAGAATTTTGAGGCATCTTCAACAATCCTAATACTAGGTATAACATCTGGTAGAATAAACATGTAATCAGAATAGACTAAACAAACATTGACTTTTTAGAAAATTTTTCTATGCTTAAATTTAACTTTCTAAATATTGGTGGGTCTTGGGCCCCTCCACTTCTTTTGAAGTTGGAGCCCAAGTTTTTATTTAGAAATTTTGGATTTAGCGATTTCCTTTATATTCAATAATTGCATTAGGC